GCAGGCCCGGGTCCAGAGTTAATTAAGAGCTCAGGGAGGATCTCCCACCCCCACCACCACCACCACATCTCTCCTCACATACAAACACCCACACGGCAGGAACCAGCTGGAGCCACCCTGAGATTAGACTCTCAGAGGAGAGGAAGAACATGTACACAGAAATGTAAACATACACACAGAAGCCGAAAAGCTAAAACTGCATTCCAAAAAAAACAGATAAGCAATTACTCAGAGCATCTCCTTGTGTCGTGCGGTGCTGCCTACACCCATATAGCTGTGGGAGGGAAGTGTTTAGAAGGATTCTCCTCCCTTCCTGTTTGACCAGAGGATCCAGGCAGGCAGTTATGTAAGGAATCATAAATGCGTAACGTGAAGTGACCCCGTTGAGACAAAGTTCAGCTCTGCAGAGGTATGTCTCGCTTCAGGAGCGACTCAGACTCATTAAGTCAAAATGAACAGAGCTCCAGATTTAGAGAGAGAAAAAAAATACACAAGACAATACGCATTAAGGGACACTTAGGTCTTTTCATTGCCATCTTAACTCTCAGACAGACATAACCACCCTGGAGCACCAGAATTTTCTGGTCAGATGTCAACATTCCTATCTCCATTATGTTTCTCAAAATGAGTCTCAGCAGTGAGACAGTCGTCTCAGCAGACTCGATGATTAGCTAATCACTGTGGGTAAAAAGGAGTTGGTGTGAGTTAAGGTGCTTTTACAGTATGCTGAGTAGAAAGAAATAAGTATTTCATTTTCCAAGCACATGACTTCACATTTTTGGATTGGCTTAGGCAACACTGTATTGCTCTGAGTGCTGATGTGAATCCACATTAAAATCTTTTTAGCGTTCATGCTTGGAAATCAACCATTAAGCCCGCCTCTAGTTGGAATGAGATGTGTCAGCGAGTAGAAATCGACCGTGTGAGCATGCAGTGTACACAGCTGGGAGTGTGTCTATCCTCATCCTTCTCTATTCCACTGAATCTCATTAGAGAAGCTTTGCCAGTGTGTGTGCAGGCCTTGTTTGATCGACACAATGATCAGGTGAATCGCTTAGTTATTTAGTGCAACCCAAGGATCTTGAATGAGCTAAAGGGCTTGACTTGCAGGGGGCGACTTGGCCTGTTTACTTTCTACAGCGATAAAATAATGATAAAAGAAGGAGATATAGCCTAAAAGATAACCCTTTGGGTTTCAAATATGTAGGTGGACTTGCACATTTTTAATACAATCTACAGAAATATGATCCTAAAATATGTTCTGTCTGGTTCACTTAACATCAATTTAGCACAGATAACAGTGTCATATTTGTGCATGACCCATTTTCTAAGTTTTGATCTGGCAAAAACCTGTAGCTCAAAAGACACCACGCCTCTCCTTCTGTAGCGTGGGAAGTACAGGTGGAGGCCAAACCAGGGAGTGCCTCCACTCTCACTCAGGGAGCCAAACACTTCACCTGATCCGCAGAGGACTGTCACAGAGACAGACAACCAGAAATCCAAAACCACCCAATCTACAGGGCTTGGAGAGGAGAACACCCCACCAAGCCTTGTTATCATTGGCCAGTAGCTCCACGAAAGCATTTCAGACAAAATGTTTCTGATAAGGAAACAACTGAAAGACTGATTGACGTTTCATTTTTGATTAGTTATTGTTAAATTACAAAAAGCCCACACTAAAATTATATTGTAGTTGTTAAAGTCTTGTATTAAAAGTCATGGCATAAGGACTTTGACCTTTGATTTTACTGGTATAAAGGGTTTATTGATAGTTCATAGGATCAGGCTAATCTGAGTTTATCTAAAGGAACTTTTCATGTCCTCCAGTAAGAACTCCTGGATCAAATATTAAGGGCTTTTAAAGTACTCCATGAGTCAAACTCAGTGAAAACAGAAGTGACTAATTCTTTGTAGTGGTCACTCCCATTCTATGAAACAACTTTACTGAAGGTCTGAAAGAACCACTGAAAATCCACCCTTTTTTATTGACATTTGATTCTAGTGGCGTTCTACACCTTATCATGTGCTTGCCCATTTAAATTTTACTTTTATTTTGAGTTTTTATAGCATTTTGCTGAATTTTATTAGGAGAGGGATGGTTTTCAGTGTTAAGCTAAACCCAGGTTTTGAGTTGTTGTGGTTTTAAGACCACAAAAACAATGTCTGATAACATTCATAAGGTTCAAAGTCCTTTTAATAAAAGTGCCAGAAAGAACAGTAGAAGGCACAGAGTAGATCATGGGTCCCTCTCCGACTTCTTGCTGAACACTACAGGTCAGCTGGCCTAAAGAAGGCTACTACGCTTTCCCTCATCTATAAGAAAGACAAATTTGGTTTTCTGGTTGCAAAAAACATGATAACACAAGGGAAACTAAAGTCGCGCTACCCATGTCTCTTGATAGGACAACACCAGCCCAAAATGATCATTTGAAAACTAGTTTATCTGTTAAAAACATTGCATTGTAATATTAGCTGTTGTGTTCTGTAGATTGACAAAAAAGGTAAAGAAGTCCCACAAATTAGACAATTTTCAAGTTGATTTGCCCTAATTTTTTGACTATGTGAGCCTTAGTGTTACCAGTCAGTGTTGAAAGTTTTTGCTGCAGACATTGTTACTGTTTCATAGTGACTACTCCATCAGAAAGCTCGGAAAAATATCTGAATGTTGTTCCAATATCCTTTGACAGCATTTTTGAAAAATGAATTGGAATCAGCTAAAATCTTTGTTGGCAGGTCAAAGCAATTTTTGCTAATGAATTTTAATTGCTGCAACTAAAAATAATATTTTTGCACAATAAGCCCTTGCAAAATACCACTATGCTTAGCAAGCTTTTATTCAGTAATCTCTCCTGAGTTTTTTTAATAAAGTTCAAATGAAATGATAATAAGTGACATATTTACAATAAATGTATTGTAACTTTAACAGTTATGTTACAATATTTTAGAAGCAGAAGGAATTTATTTTTGATATTTATGTCTAAAAGGTTAACTGGAAATGGGTTTACAATTCCCACTTTCTTTTCTTAAAAATAAGTTTTTTTAATAGAAGCATCAAGTTGTAATCCATATCAAGATGAAAGAATTACATATAAACATGCATGCATAAAAATGGTTTTTTGTTTTGTTTTTAATCTAACTTGTCAACACTTTGCAATACACCAAACTACAGAAGTTAACTTACTGATCAAAATTTCCAATGAATTATGAACTTATTTGGAAGCATGAGTGTGGAGGACGCTGAAAAGTTTCCTCAAGCTCATAAAAATTCAGAGCCTTACATGTGAATTAATTTACAGACTTGAACGGTTGAGTTCTTTGTATTAGCAGGCCCTCAGCCCCCTCCCTCCTTTCCTCACCAACTCCCAGCACACCCTGGCATCTCCCACATCACTATAACAACCACCCCTGTAATGCACCACAATAACCCCCACAGGTCCCATTTCAGTCAAGGAGGGTGAAATCACTGCAGCCGAGGGGTGAAACAATACCGATACTTTCAATTAAAGTGTTTTGGCCTCAGCGCTGTTGGAAAGCCTCCGTGAATAGAAGCAATAAAAAACATACCCTGCTCATAGTCGCTGATGTCCTCCACCTTTCTTCTTCTCACATAAGACAGAGCAGCTGTTTTGCTATTTATCCATACCGAAGCAGGTTGTATCTCCTAGCGGGTTGGTGGCTGGCTTCTGCCAGGCTCATGTCGGGTACAGAGAAAGCCCAACAAGCGCTCTCCCTCGTCTCTTCCCCTCTCTTCAGTCCCCCTGCAGCATACCGAAGACAAACGACTCCTTGACTTCTTCAGCTAGCAGTTGAAGCTAACTCACTCATAAACTTCTTCAGAGTTGCGCAAGCGACGCAGTTTCTAATTTCACTTTCGCGAACCGGTAAAACTCGTTCGAAGCAAAGTAAAACAGTGATGGGCACTGATGAGGATTACACGGCGTGTTAAAGCTGGACGTTACTGAGATGCAGCTCGTTTTTTCAATGGGGAGTCCAGCTCCAGTGAGTCTTTAGAGGATTTGAGCTCGAGAGCATCCTCAGTGCACTTGTTGCTGTGTTTGCAGGGGGCGGGGCGTCGAGAGGTGACTGGTCGACCGCAGTGCGACCGTCCGGCTGACAGCCAATAGTAAATCAGGCACTCAATCCCTGGAAGTTGAAAGCCACGCCCACTTCGAAGCGCAACACTGGGCCTTTTTGGAAGACCAAAAGTGCCAAAAATGAAAAAATAAAAAAAATATAAATAAAATTATATATATATATATATATATATATATATATATATATATATATATATATATATATATATAAAGTCTTAAAAAAAAAAAAAAAATATATATATATATATATATATATATATATATATATATATATATATCCTGATATCCTAATAATCACATCAAACAGGTGTGTACTATTTATCAGTATTAATTCTATTTTTTTATCCACAAGTCACTGTGTAATAGTTAAAACGATAATATATAAAAACTCTTTTTTTGTTTGTTTTTGTTTTTGTTTTTTTTCGATTTTGGAATCTGGTTTCACAGGCAAAATTGTAAAATAAAAATTGCATTTTTCACAAAATTAGAATTGTGTCACACTATAAGTGTATTTAAACAAAAGTTTTAAAAAGTAACTGTTTATTTAATGTATTGGTTTTGGCATATTTTAAAGGTAGGAGTATGTAAGCAAAATGTCAGAATTTACCAATTTATTAAACTGGGCACTTTTGGTACTCCACAATTCCTGCACACAAGTAGGACACAAAAAGACTGGGCTTTCCAGTTGGTTTTGTCCTGGCTTTCTTGCGTCGTGTCACTGAATCACACTAGTGGAATTTAATTCATGAATATTTCTGTTCCACGCCCATCCAAAAATTGCACAGACAGAAACAAGGTTGTTCTATATTGTGAGACAACAACAAAGTGAGACAAAATATACCATCCAGAAATGTCTGTTGTCTGTTTAATCATTCAATAAACTCATGTTTACTTTTTTAAACTCCATGTCTAGGTTTATTGCAAGAAGAGAAAAACTGTATGAAAAAATTCCTCTGGAAATAATTGGATGAAGAACCAAAGTGAGACATCACACCAAAATAAAAACTTAATAAAATTTCAACAAACAAATGCAAATAAATAAATGTATAGGATGTAATTATCTTTATGAAATAATAAAATCAATTGAAAGAAGAAACAAAAGCTACAGATGGCTTAGCGTAGCTATTTTGCCTATTTCTTTGCTAGCAAAAATAACATATAATGTTCCTGTATTGTGATCCAGCCATGACCCAGATATAACTCATTTAATTTATACTGTACAGTGACATTGTTATCAGAGGCATTAAATCCACACAGTCAGCATGTTCTGTTCCTTATGGGTTTCTTTTCATAATGTACATGTAATGTTTGCCTTTCCAACCAGCTTTGTTTTGGTGTCCAAGGTCCAAAATTCATTGTTAGAGATTGTGACTTATCTCTATTTTACTTAGAATAATAAAAATAGTAAAAAAAAAAAAATTAAAAAAACTTTTGTGCTACTTCTGCAACACTGGTGCCTAGCTTAGTTCAACAAGCAGCATATGACTAATCTGGCCACAAGTCCTGCATCTTTTTGGTGGTTTCTGAATACATTTCTTCAGACTACCTTCTTGTCTTGGAAACATTAATGCAATTCTTAAAACAATCACAGGACAATATTAAAGATTTCTGTTTACTGTCTGAAATAAAGAAAACAAAATACAAGTTAATTTTAATGTAATTACTTTGAAATATAACGATGCAATTTTGAATTAAATTAATTTCACTGGATCATAATTATGTCAAAGTGAAGCTTCATCTTAGATTTTTGTTGAAAATCTTTAATTAGGATCCAAAGATTATGAACCCAGAGAAAATGGTGTCATCATCTTCATCAGCAAACAGGCCATTGAACAGTTCTCCTCCAACTACCTGCAGCCACACTTTGTCCCCCACATCCAGGTGCAGCACAGCGCCCCCTGCTGCCTGGTCCTCGCTGGTCTGGTAGTTGTCCGTGGTGTGGATGATTTTTACCCCGTTCTTCATAAGGGCCACTTTCACGTTTCTGGAGAAGACGGTGATGTGGTAGGTGAAGAAGTAGGCGCCAGCTACGGGGCACGTAAATCTCCCTGTCTGTGAGTCGTAGTGGTTCTGTTGGTTATAAATGATCTTGTCGAACCGGATCGGCAGGTTGGCTGGTGGAAGTTTACTACGCGCTGTGAGTCCTACGGAGAAAGCGCTTTTGGGGATGACAGGAGACTCTCCCTTTTCGCCGCTTTCGCCCTTCTCACCCCGAGCACCCCTTTCACCACGGTAACCAATGTTTCCTTTGTGACCCGGCACACCCAATTCTCCCTTAGGCCCTGGCTTACCAGGGGGTCCCAGAGGCCCCTGAATACCTCTGTCACCTCTTAGGCCAATTTCCCCCTTTGGACCATGTGGTCCTGGCGGACCTAAATCTCCTTTAAGTCCTTGGGGTCCTGGCAAACCAAGTTCTCCCTTGCTTCCTTTTATGCCAATTGGTCCCTGTATTCCTTGGGGCCCCATTTTTCCTGGAGACCCCTTTTCTCCATTTTCTCCTTTTTTCCCTTTAGGCCCAAGATTACCAATAGCACCTGGAGAGAACGAATAAAGAAATAAATAAAACTAGGAGTGAAAACTGACACTCATTACAAGCCTAGCTGTATTTTATAATCATTTTACTTGACAAATCAAAGCAATGCCTTTTGTAACTTTTAAAAGGGGGCATTGTTTACAACATTTTTACACCACTTCTGGTGGAAGAACTTGTGGACAACCATTAGCCATGAACCTGGCTAATCTGGACTTAATGGCAGAAAAACATAGAAAAACAGCACATCACCCTGAATATAGCATGTGGCAATTGGTGGTGTCTATGTCATGCTGAGGGGATGGTCTCTTTTTGTCAGCAGAGACAGGGAAAGTGGTCTCTGCTGATAAAAGACGCATGTTGCCATCTTTTATCAGAAGATAAAAAGAAGATGCATAATAGCAAAATACAGAACAATCCTGTAAAAGCTGTTTGAGGTTATAAAAGACTAAACATGGGTGTGGACTCCTGCAAATGCATGTGTTAGAATGGCCCAGTCAAAGTCCAGATTTTACTCTCACTCTTGGCAGACATATAGGTGCGCAAAACTGGTTAGAAACATATTGCAGTAAAGTACTGCAGTGAAAGGAAGTACTTCAAAGTATTAGCAGTTCACTACTCAAGTTACCTTTATAGTAAATATTGTGAAGGCATTGATGACACACTTTTAGATTTTTATAAGAAATGTTGGAAGCCATGAGATATTTCTTTTCTTCTACAAATTTAGACCCTGCTTCAAAATGGTCTGCCACATAAAATTACATTAGTCGTTGTAAAGTTTCTAATTGTTCTTCAAGGGAAATGAATACTTTTGTAAGATATTGTAAATTTGTAATTTAACACCAACAGAAATATACTGGGTTTTATTCTTTTGCAAGGTCGTTATTTTTAGTACATACCAGTGTCTCCTTTGGTTCCTTTTAGGCCATCGGTACCAGCTGGTCCCGAAGGGCCAACTTCACCTTTACACAAAACATCAATACATAATTGTTTTTTAAATGTTTGCAATCAACACTTTGATGATAATATATTGAAACACATATTCCAATTAAATATGGCTCAAGTCATATTACAGTCAAGTCTTTAAACAGTCTTCTTTCTGAACTTGCCTTGGTCTCCTTTGTCCCCTGTGAGTCCGTCTCTACCGTCTCTCCCTGGTGAACCATTGTGACCAGGATCGCCTGGTATTCCAGGATACCCACAAATGCAGCCTTTACTTGGTATTGTTTCCTCTGCAACACATCTGACGACCAAGAGCAGGAGCAGGAGAGCAACCCTAAAGCTTATCTGCGACATTGCACATGCTGTACTTTTAGACTTTTAGAAGCTCAAGCATGGCACAGAGTAACTTTGATTACCCAAAAGTCTGACCCCGAGAGCCCCTTGCAACAGTGGCAAAGTACACAAGAGAAGCCAACGATTCACAGGCTGGGCAAAGCTTAACCAATGCATCCTCATTGGTCACTGTTTATGGTTTAGTTATTGACTGTGCTCCATCAGTTATGCATGGCCTGTGTCCCTTCAGATGCTTCTCTAGTCCGTCTGAGGCTAATAATAAGCTCAGACTCACAGTGTCTGAGAATAGGAAGGTAGAGAGTTTCACTTGAGCTGCCTGTCTGTGCAGAGGAAAAATAAGACATTAACCCTCGGCAAGTAGTTAAATGCTTTGACAGCTCACTGGAAGATTTTATATTAATTTATTGTACTGTAAAACGAATCTGATGTTTGAAGTGACCTTTAGATTAAAAAGCTGTTGCCTTTTGGTTTGATGGCTCACATTAATTAGACTTTGTTTACTTGTCCAGTGCTAACAGGGTTTTGGTTTCGCGTGTGCCATTAAGAAAGAGCAACACAAAGATCAGCTGGCATTAACAGGATCGGAGGCTTTCAACTATGAATAGCTGTGGTCAAAATATCCCGAATCCATCTGTTTTTTTAATTAATTTAAAACTGTTTTTCCCTGTCGATACTGAACAACCATGGCAGCTCGTGTCAATGCTTCCGCTTACAACCTTCTCCCAATTACATTGGTCTTATTTAATCCACATGTTTACAGGGTGTACAAAATCACCTATGCACATTACAACCACAAACCTTAACTTATGTCCTATGTAAGGGTGATGAAAGAAAAATTAAGCATGATTTTTAGACTTTTCAAACCTAAAATCTGAAAAGTGTGGCCTTCACCTCTATTCAGCCCCTCTGAGCTAACACTATGTATAGAAATACCACATCCTGCTTTCACAGCTGATAGTACTTCAGAGTATATTATATCTCTACTTTCTTTGTACAGGCTGAAATATTTCCATGTTCTTTGTATTTGTGTCATACCTGTTCCATTTCCAGATCTTCTGAGATAAGATATTGTTTTATAACTTTAAGGTGCTTTAAACCCTGATCTGTCTGCTGTGTTCCTTGATATGTATGATGTGATTTATGAATGACTGATAAAGATTTTTGGTTGCAGACCCCTGTAAGTTGAGTTTTTTTGGACAACATCCTCTTTTTCTTTCTCCAAATTAGAATTACATGTTTGTGTAGCTATTAAACTCAGGGGCCTGCAATAGAACTAGAAGCATCTAGTTCCATGAATTAATAAAAAAAAAAATCTAAACCAGGTCTTTGATTAATGTAATTTGGATTTTGGCAACACACACACTCAAATGATTCAATTTCTTCCCCTTCATTAAGGAAAAATGAACCTTCAACGTCATTAGAAGAGCATTGAGAGATTTGATTTCTTACTCGTGCTGCTAAACAAAAGGTTACTGTTACTCTGGCTCAAATCAGAAACCAGCATCCAAATAATTGTGCTGTACTGCAGACACTTTATTAGATTGTGCACAGTGAGCAGAGACAATAAGGATGGCGGCAAAGGAGGAGCGGGAACATAAAACTGAGATATGAGAAAAAGAACTCGGTGCTTGCAGTGAGCACACAGCATTCACCTCACCTCAGGGAAGACAAAAATACGTATTCATACTTTATTTTTCCAGTAATCCTTCTTACACACATCCACATATAAATAGATTTCCAAAATACAAACAGAACACACATAAACAGTGCACAATCAAGCAACATGTTTACCTGGCACCATGAACCTTTTATTGTCAAACGTGTTGGCTACTGCACATTCACATGTTGCACCGTGCACATGTGAATGTGCACGGTGCAACAGATAACAAACGAGGTGTAACAGATAACAAACGAGGGCATGGCTCAGAAGAAATGACGCTCATCTATAATTTAATACCAGCATATCAAGGACCCAGCCTTTGAAGTCCTATAACCAGGCACAACGTGAGGTTGATTTGGTTACAGAAGAAACAGCAACAAGTCTTCAGGCAAAACTGCAGAGACTTCGTCACTGATTGAGCCTTGCTAGGATTAAGGCTAAAGAATCACACAAGAACAGAATAGCCTATGATCACTAAAATATAGGAAATATATAAATAACAATACACCATGCCTAAACAGTCACTTTGAGTATCTCTGTAAACAAGTGTACAGTACAGATGGCTTTTATTGTAAATAGTTAAATAAACACAAAATACACATTGTGTAACCAAATAGTATAATACGGAGGTAAGAAGGCAAAAAAAAGAGAGAGAGAATAATACAGAAGAATCATGAAGACATAAATCTGCAGTGTAGCTGACATCATTTTATTAAGAAGTGAAGGAAAACAGTGTTGGGCAAAAGCAGCAATTACAGGGAAGTTGAGGTTAAGATGGCAGGTGTGGCAAAGCTTAGGAGAGTTTTATTTTAGGGCTACAGCATTTGTGGGATTAGTAGAAAAACAAAGTCTGAGATCAAGGATTAGAGGAGGGTCTACATGATCTGACGGTGCATACCGTAGCCCGTCATGCCAGCCTGGGAAGCGCCGCGGTTGCTGCCCATCTGCAGGCCGATCAAACTCTGGCCTTGGCGCAGCTGCTCTTCAGTAAACTCTCGTCGGTATCCCTGGGCTTTCCTGCGCGTGTACAACAAGAGGGTTAGTAGGTGTGTGTGAGGAGTCTGAAGGTGGGTTTTTGATGTTTTCAGAGGGTTTTTTTTTATACCTGTGGAACCAGTCTCGGTCACCTTTATATTGACCGTCGTCCTTTGTGACAGCCAAACTCCCCAGAGCCATCAGGGTTCTTTGCACTGCTGCCATGTCTTTTCCTATAACCAGCAAATATGTGGAAGAAAATGTTCCAGTCAGATAATAAAAGAACTACAAAAGTAAAAAAAATAAAAAAATAGCCCATCATGCAAAACACCAAATGTGGACATAAATTAACAGAAAATGTACATAATAAAATATGGTTGCAGCAACATCATGTGGGAATGATTTTCTTTAGTAGAAATAGAGAAGATGATCAGAGTTTTGGGAGAAATTGCATCCATAGGTATTGATATTTTTCAAACACTTTCAGTGTATTTTGTTGAGTCTTTACATGACAGACCAACACAAAGATGAGCCAAGCTGAATAAAGGAAATGGAGGCAGAGTTTTCAGTTTTTCAGTATTGAAAAATGTTGCGTGCATTTTGACTCATCCCAAACAACTTCCTTCAGAAGTCACCCAATTAGTACATAATAAAAGTACATAAGAGTCTTAGTCTGTGTAATTTAATATTAACATAAATGCAGCTGTTCTGTGAAGGCCTTAGATATTTGACAATGCCATCTCCACTGTGAAATATGGTGGTGGCAGCATTAAGATGTGGGGATGTTTCTCTTCTGCAGGGTCAGAAAAGCTGACCCACACTGTTAGAAGGTTGGATAAAGCTAAATGCAGGACAGTCCTGGTAGAAAAACCAGGCAGCTATTGGGAATAGACATCCGCCTTCCAGCAGAACAGCTCAGAGACCACTATATTAAAGTGGCCTAGTTAACGTTTGAACCTCTGCATTCAATCTGAGTGAAATTTGGCTATTTTGTATAGATAAATGGAGGGGAAAAATCAAGCTACTATGTGAAACATGCGTCTAAAGGGCTGCATTTGTGACTGCAATAAAAGGTCCCTCTACTGACAGAGAGGCTGAATACAAATGCACAGAAAATTTTTCAGATTTCATTTGTAAAAGATATGATGCTTTTTCTTCCACTTCAAACTTACACATATCTTTGTGCTGATCTGTTATATAAAGTTCAAATAAGATCGGTGGAAAATCTTGAAAATTGCAGTTTACAGATCCATCCATCCATCCATCCATCCATCCATCCATCCATCCATCCATCCATCCATCCATCCATCCATCCATCCATCCATCCATCCATCCATCCATCCATCCATCCATCCATCCATCCATGTCCTCACCTTCCCAGAGGTCCACAGTTTGAAAAATATCTGTGGTTGTGACTCCATAAGCTTCCGCTGCTTGCAGGAACTGGGAGATCTTCTCCATCTGTTTGAAGGCCATTTGAGTCTCAGGAATCTTTTTGATGGGTTCTTTGCCCCGCGGATAAAGACTGTTTATGAGTCGACAGAGAATCTGTTACGGAGGAAGGACAGAAGTCTGCCTTAGTCATCCTGCAAACAGAACCTTTGGTGCCAAGGCATGATGGGACTCTCAGTACTTGCTGGTATCTAATGTAATTCACAAGGTTTCGGTTGTTCTACAGAGTTTCTACTTTTGCTACTTAAAATTTTAACTCTCTGCCAGAACAACACACATATAAAGGTCAGCTAAAAACCTATAATTTTACATCAACCGTTGCATAAATTTGGATTTGTTATTTCGTGAGTCTTACCCTTAAAGGTGCTGTATAAATAAAGTTTTACTTACTTACTGATCCTCAGGAAGTAGCACAAAAGGACATTGAATTTGGTTTTTAAAACTGAAATGTATTTAAAATTCTCCAATAATTAAAAAAATAATAATGCTACCTTAAATTAACTTGTAAGAAGGGTACATTTTTAGTTAAGCGGCTGCCCTTTTGTGAAGAAATTTTCCTCCTGTTTTTTACTTTCATGGATTTTTCAGAAAAAAATTGTTTTAGCAGGTTTATCTAGCATTTAGCTAAAAGACAGCAGTGCACAGCCTGTTGTGAAGTTCAGAAAAATTAAGTCTTAGCAACAATTTTTTTTTTCTCTTAAGTTGCTGAAAATCCCTAAATATGTGGTTAGAAAGACATAGCAGGTTGCAGGTTAAAATTGTATATGTTTCTATTTTTTTAATAAACCTTTAGTGAGTAAAACAGTTTTTCTAAATCTCTACCTTGAGAACAATTTTTATTAAGCGTAATACATAAGAGGGCACATAAATTGGCCATCACATAGCAGCCATTTCATATTTGTCATCATTATTATGTTGCATCTTAAATAATTCAAAGTATATCTATTTTAGGGACTGTAGCCGCTCACCGTTCCGTCCATCAGCCACGTCTGGAAGTTCTGCTTGCCCGG